GAGCACAGTGTGGTTACATGCCTCTGGATCTCTTCGAACTACTCTTGAAGAGTGATGAACTTAATAGTAAAAATTACATTTTGGAACATGTTTCCGATTCGTTGGCACTGCGTTCAGCACTTTGGTGTCTATATGGACGCTACGAAATGTCTGCTATGTATGCGCAGTTGCTGCTCAACTTAAAGAAAACCTGGGTATTTGGTGATGTGAGTAATTCGGAGAGTGTCTGTAAGGTTCTATCAAGCCTGGCACTTTGGTTGAACATACAAGGAGAACACCACTTAAGTGCTGTGGTGTTGCATAATGCGCGCAAACGTTTTCCACGCTATCCGCACGCAGCTCAATGGATGATTAGTGAATGCCATATAAAAATACAGCAATGCATCTATCGTTGTCGTTGGCAGGAAGCACTAAAAGCTTGCTGTCAACTTTATTTGCTGGACAAAAATGACGGCAATCTGCAGCGCGCCACTGTATTGGTGGCAAAACGTTATTTTAATGTGGCACGCCGCCTACTGCACAAACTGCTGGAAACGAGTAATTTGGACATTTTAACAAACGTACGTGTGCTGGTCCTGAAGGCCATCTCAGTGGATTGCATGTCATCACAAACTATAGAACTGCTTATGCGTGCCTCGGTGTTAGCTGCCTCGGCGTATCTGGAGTATGAACATGCAATGGTTGATATGGTGCTAGCGCAAGTGCTGCTTAGAATGGGTTTGATACAGAAAGCTTTCCAAGCAATTAAGAATTGCATGGAAATCATCTGTATTAATGGCGGCATCTATGATCGCGCCAAGACTGATTTTATATTTGTTAAGTGCTTGGTGGCAGCAGCAGATAGCAAGGGTATGAAGATTATAGGTCTTCTGAAATCCATACCGATGTTGGAGAACGCAATTGAACAGTTTAAGAAACTGGAGGCACATGCAAAAGTTTTGGATATTTACGTGTATCTCGCCAAGACCTTTGACGAATTGAAGGAGAGAGAGGAACGAAATAAGTATGCTTGTAAGTTCAAGCAATATTTCAAGTCGCATCCGGTTGCGAGGGAATATCTTGGCATGATATTTTGAATAAAAACAAATATTTTAATAAATTGAAATTAAAATTTATTCATACGAAAAGGAATTATATTTATAAGTAATATATATATGTATGTAAATGTTAATATAGTGAAAAGTTAGGAGTATTTATACTTAACCAAATAAATGTATCAGTTAGGCAATGTATTAATTATTCCATTTTCTTACGTTTTGACAGCGATGGCCTATCAAAGTGCTGCTTCATGCCACCAGCTTTTTCATTATGGAATTTAATATTATTTGTTGTCTCGGCATACCAGGGAGAATCAAATTTGGTTGTGTCCTGATCTACTAAATGCGTATATTTGGTACGTCCGCAACGTCCAAAATTCTTAACCTGCATCACTTTAGGCAAAATTGTCTTGTCAAAGTGATCTTCCAGTGTAGCTTGTGCGAAATCACGTTTAAGTACATCTTCTTCCTCGTCCAGGTAGAAGGCACCACGATGATAATATTTCTGTAAGAACTTATATTTGCCTTTGCTGGCTTTGTTAGTGATTAATTTTGGATTTGTGCGCATTTCCTGTCGACGTTCTTCCTCAGTTAGGTTACGCAAACGGTCAATTTCAAGCTTGTCACGTTCGGCACTAAAAAAAATGGTATTTAATTTGAAATAAATAATTTCTTCCACAATTCATACTTTTCTCTTTCTTCGCGATCACGTTTCATGCGTTTCAATTCACGCAATTTCCAGGCTTCATACTCCACTTCATCATTCTCATCATCAGTGCATACATCATCGATTCTGGCCTCTGCGGTGTCAGGCTAAAATAAAATTATATACATAAATCCATTGAATACGATATTGAATTTTTACTGTCCGGAATCAAAATATTTGGACAAATATATTTCAAAGAATATAAGTTAAAAGCTAGGCTTCCTGCTCATCATCCGCAATTTATTTAAAATTCTATTATTAAAGCATTTTAAATTTGGTAATACACAAAACAGCTGTATAGTCAGTCGAAAATTCAATTAATTAAAAAATAATAATAAAATGTTGTTGTTACAATTTTACTACTCTTCGAATACTAAAAACCCTTTATTGAAAAGAATGGTTTAAGAATTTAGATTCTTTCGTCAAAATGGACGTAAAAAATGAATAATATAGACTAGTAGCCATCTATTCCTAAATTCATAAAGTATATAAAAATTTTCTATTAGCCACACTGCGTGTATTCATTAGTAAAGCATATTGGCTATTTAATAAAATACAATTTTTTTTATGACTTCCACCTATGGGCCAGACACATCAACTTTACAATTTGATGAAAACCGGTTCAACTCAACTTAGCCTCAATCATAGTACTTTAGTTTTAAATAAATTCCTAACAAAACATCCTTTAAGTGTATGAGCAGGATATGCTCTAGAAGCAACCAATGCTTATTACCAAATTTGCACTTACTTTCACCTTTTCCAAATCCTTTTTGACACTATCTTCGACCATACGTAGGGTATGTCTGCGTCTTTCCTTAGCAGATTTCTTAGTTTCAGTTTCGAGTTGTTTTTGTTTCTGTGCCTCACGTTCCTTCTCCTGTATTGTAGCTCTGTCGCGTTTACGTACAAAAAGTGGTTTTAGACGTGGTTCATTGTCTTCCTCACTTTCAGTTTCCTCCTCATAATCTGAACTCTCGCTATCTGATGATTCTGATTTGTTTTCTTCTTCTTTTTGTAAAATCTGAAATATAGTTAGATTATTAAATTTTTTTTTTGTTTTTTTTTATTTTATTTAAGCAAAATAGTTCACCTCTTCTTCTTTTTGTTGCTGCAACATGCGTTGACGTAGTTTCATACGTCTCTTCTCCAATTCAGTTTCACTTAATTCTGAATCAGAGTCAGACTCTGAAGCTAATGTGATTTTATTTGTCGATGCTTCAATAGTGCGGTTGGGTTCATTCTCGCTTTCCTCTGATTCTGTTTCAACAAATTCTGGCTCATGTACATGTCGATGACGATCTTTCCGTTCCAGCTCTACATCATCTTGTTCTACGGGACGCGCACGTAGTCGCCTTAAACGTGGATCATCAAATTCAGCATCGTCATCTTCATCGGCTGCCCGCTGAAGTGCAATTTCCTCTTCACGCCTTAAGCGACGCTCCTGCTGTGCAATTGCTGCAGTTGTGCGCTTCCGATGATCGATGAAGTCTTCCAAGTCACTCTCATCGCTGCTAGAATCATTTCGTGCATAATCTGGACGCTTGCCTGATACGTACCGCTGCACTTTTACTTTTTGCATAGAAATCTCACCTAAAACATAAATAGAATGTAAATTAGCGTTGGCACTGCACTTGAACTTGCGCGCATTTCGTAATAACCTTTCTCATTTCGCACTGGCACAGCGCCTGCAGTGCTTTGTATGCCCGCAATAATTACCGGCAAACTCATCTTATTTTTTCAATTGAAATTGCTATCAACTTTTTTATAAATAAAATTTTCCCAGATTTTTTCTTCTTCTGCTTCTATTTGTTGTGTTCTATGTTGGCGATGAAAACGTTTGCCAGCTGACTGTCAAATTTGTGTGTATACAAAATTGTAATAAATTTGTTGCTATTTGTGGTTTGTGTCCGTGCTATTCGGTGTTGCGATGTTTTTGGCTCAACTGAATTTTTCAATTTCGTTTTAGTTTTAATTGTTTATTGTTGTTTTTATATTTTGCGTTATACAATTATACAATTGAATTTGTTGAATTAATTTTTGGTATTTATTTTCCTCTTACAAACGCAATAAGGAAGTAAAGGGCAAAAATAAAATATATGAAAATATTTCAAAATATATGCAATTGTTATTGTTTTTTAATTTGCGAAAAGTTAAGTGTAATAATAAGTGCAACTACTACGAAAAGACAGTTTCATTCCAATTACAAAAACAAAAAAAAAATAATAATAAGAGAAAATATTGTTTTAAAATATTAGCAATATCCGTTATTTAAAAATAGAGAAAAATATTTTCTCATCTACAAAAGAAAAAAAAAAGAGAAAGCGGAAGTCACTAAGAGATTTGAATTGTTGATGAAATAAAAATAACTTGACAATTTGTAATTAATTAATAAATTTCTTTAATTAAATAATAACCCGTGCAAGTTGAATTTAAGTGGTGATACATCGATAAAAAATTAAAAATAATTACCGTGAAAAATTTGAACTTGGCACCGGATTAATGGAGTTTAATTAAACGCGAAGGAGAGAGCGAGACAGTGAGCCACGTAATTGCAATTTCCCAAACCGGGCACTTTTCCTTAAAAATACGTGTCTATGTATTTATATAGTATTTTTGTGAAATATTTCAAAGTAAATTAACCACGTATAATTAGTGAGAGTATTTATATACTTAAAAATTTTACATTTTATAAAATCAATTCAATTAGATAAATAATTATTTTAATTTGAAATTATGAAAATAGACGCACGTGCGGTTTAAATACATTAATCTACAAGGATAATAAAACGATTTTCATTCAGTAAAACTAAAAATAGACTATATATATATAGATAGCTACAGTAAGTACATAGGATTTAAATAATTAAAATTAATTTAATAAATATCAATAAAAAAAAATTTGATAAATTTTTTTAAAAAATTTTTAAATTTGATAAAAACTTTGAGCTATTTCAGTATTTTAGATTTCTTCTACGGGAGACCGCCACATACTTATCGCCTAAGGACAACTCTCTAAAATTGCTGCCTATGGCATATATGCGGCTATTTAAAACGCCATTTCGTTATATTTTATTATTAAACTGCCAACTCGAGAAGTTGAAGATTATACCGTAAACTCTGAATTCGGCAGAGTGGATTCAGTAAATTTTTAAGCAATATTAGTTTGGTAAGTCATAAATAATTTAAATTTAATTTATTTAAATGAAAAATATTTTTATTCTATTATTATTATTATTATGAAATAATAAGCTATAAATTGTTATTGTTTTTGCTTAAGTGAGTTTCCAATCTAAACCTAAACAGACTATGTTTACACTAACAGTTTTCGGACATTATTTAAATTTAATTTATTAAAATGAAAAATATTTTTATTCTATTATAATTATTATTTTAAAATAATAAGCTATGAATTGTTATTGTTTTTGCTTAAGTGAGTTTCCAATCTAAACCTAAACAGACTATGTTTACATTAACAGTTTTCGGACATTATTTAAATTTAATTTATTTAAATGAAAAATATTTTTATTCTATTATTATTTTAAAATAATAAGCTGTGAATTGTTATTGTTTTTACTTAAGTGAGTTTCCAATCTAAACATAAACAGACTATGTTTACACTAACAGTTTTCGGACATTATTAGCATATTTTTGTTTGGAGTTTGTATAAAACATGATAGCTATAATTAGCTGCTTATTTGTAGAGTTATTTGCGATAGTATAAACGAAACTTACGAATATTGTAATACAAAGTATTGTGTTTTATAAGCATATAGCAAAAGAACAACATAAAATAAACTCTACTTTTGATGGCAACTCTGGAAGAACCGGACATTTTGTTAGGCTTATATAAAAGAAAAACATAAAAAAATAATTAGGACTATTTATACTTGAAAAATTGCGTTGTTTATATCAATACTTAATAATTATGTCTAAATAATATATATGAATAAATATAAATATGAAGTATTGTTACAGTGCCAAGTTGTTAGCGTCAATGCTATCGCTGTCCTCTTCTTATTCATTGCTCGGTTAATGACTTTTTTTATGGCTAATCACTAAGAGTTAATTTTTTCTTTATCTCTCAAATTGACGTTATCAAAATTCACTGTTAGCTTTATTTTTACCATGTATTGGACTATAGATATCACACAATAGAAGCTGACTCCAACTACCTGCTGTAAAGTCATACCTATGTTCATATAATGCTGGACGGTTTTTGATTTGTTGCATACGAATTCATTAGGGTTAGCATACATTCTCTTCTCCTTTTCTATCGAAGTTGTTTCCAACATCATTCTGAAATCTGCAAAATAAAAATAGGTACCACTGGCTTTCCATATATGGAAAACGTTT